AAAAAAAAAAAAAAAAAAGAGAAGAAAACTGGTCCCTGGTTCTGCTACCCACATGACCTGACCTTTTTTGACAAGTTTTAGAAACAGATTTTGTGTTTGTGTGTGTGTGTATTTCTTTTTGCAACCTCTGCCTCCTGGGTTCAAGTGATTCTCCAGCCTCAGCCTCCTGAGTAGCTGGGATTACAGGTGCCTGCCACCATGGCTGGCTAATTTTTTTGTATATTTAGTAGAGGCGGGATTTCACCATGTTGGCCAGGCTGGTCTTGAACCTCCTGACCTCAGGTGATCTACCCGCCGCAGCCTTCCAGAGTGCTGGGATTACAGGTATGAGCCACTGTGCCCAGCCTGATAATGTATATATTTAGGATCTTTCAACATTTGAATAAAGTGAAAGTCTTCCCTTACTCATCTTTATCTATTAAGAGTTTAGCCGGATGCTGTGGCTCACGCCTGTCATCCCAGCACTTTGGGAGGCCGATTCAGGTGGATCACCTGAGGTTGGGAGTTCGAGACCAACCTGACCAACATGGAGAAACCCTGTCTCTACTAAAAATATAAAATTATGGGTGGCGCTTGCCTGTAATCCCTGCTACTTGGGAGGCTGAGGCAGGAGAATCTCTTCAACCCAGGAGGCGGAAGTTACGGTGAGCCAAGATTGCATCATTGCACTCCAGCCTGGGCAACACTCCGTCTCAAAAAAAAAAAAAAAAAAAAGTTTTAAATTCCTTTCAGGAAAAACAAGTATATATATATATATAAAGCAAATACAAATATAACTGTATTAGTCTGCTTTCACACTGCTATAAAGAAATACCTGGGACTGGGTAGTTAGTTTATAAAGAAAAGAGGTTTAATTGACTCACAGTTCTACATGGCTGGGCAGGACTCAGGAAACTTACAATCATGGCAGAAGGTGAAGGGGAAGCAAGCACTTTCTTCACAAGGCAGCAGAAGAGAGAACTTTCGTGGAGGAGGAACTTCCAAAAACTTTTAAAACCGTCAGGTCTTGTGAGAACTCCCTCAGGATCACAGGAATAGCATGGGGAAAACCACCGCTGTGATCCAGCCACCTCCCACCAGGTCTCTCCCTCAACATGTGGGGATTACAAGTCGAGATGAAAGTTAGGTGGGGACACAGAGCCAAACCATAACTACATGTCTCTGTGTGTGTGTGTGTGTGTGTGTATTTTTTTTTTTTTTTTCTTGAGACGGAGTCTTGCTCTGTTGCCCAGGCTAGAGTGCAGTGGGACAATCTCGGCTCATGCAATCTCTACTTCCCAGGTTCAAGCAATTCTCCCTGCCTCAGCTTTCCAAGTAGCTGGAACTACAGGCGCCTGCCACCATGCTCGGTTAGTTTTTGTGCTTTTCTTTTTTTGAGATGGAGTTTTGCTCTTATTGTTTAGGCTGGAGTGCAATGGTGTGATCTCGGCTCACCACAACCTCCGCCTCCCAGGTTCAAGCAGTTCTCCTGCCTCAACCTCCCGAGTAGCAGGAATTACAGGCATGCGCTACTATGCCTGGCTAATTTTTTTTATATTTTTAATAGAGACAGGGTTTCTCCATGTTGGTCAGGCTGGTCTCGAACTCCCAATCTCAGGTGATCCGCCCGCCTTGGCCTCCCAAAGTGCTAGGATTACAGGCAGCGTGAGCCACCACACCCAGCCAATTTTTGTATTTTTAGTAGAGATGGGATTTTGCCTTCTTGGCCAGGCTGGTCTTGAACTCCTGACCTCAGGTGATCTGCCCACTTCAGCCTCCCAAAATGCTGGGATTACAGGCATGAGCCACTGTGTTCAGTGTTTTGTTTGTTTGATTTTTGGGTTTTTTTTTTTAAGAGGCAGAGCTTCTGTTGCCAAGGCTAGAGTTCAGTGTGGTGGTGAGATCATAGCTCACTGCAGCCTCAAACTCCTGGGTTGAAGTGATCCTCCCACCTCAGCCTCCTGAACAGCTGTGACTACAGGCATGTGACACCACTGGCTAATTTTTAATTTTTGTTTTTGTAGAGATGGGGGTCTGGCTGTGTTGTCCAAGCGGGTATTGAACACCTGGCCTCAAGCCATCCTCCTGCCTCAGCCTCCCAGAGCACTGGGATTATAGGCATGAGATACTGTGCCTGATCTATAGTCTTTAAAATATATATATTTATACAAGTTTTTACTGAACTTACTTTTATTTATTTAATGTATCTACAGTGATGACTTAAAATTGAGAATTTGTGTCAGCTGAAGATTATTACTGTGTTTTAAAAATATTCTTGGCCGAGTGCGTGGCTCATGCCTGTAATCCCAGCACTTTGGGAGGCTGAGGTGGGCAGATCACCTGAGGTCAGGAGTTCGAGACCAGCCTGACCAATATGGTGAAACCCCATTTTAAAAAAGAAAAAAAAATAAAAAAGAAATTATCCAAGTTTGGTGGCAGATGCCTGTAGTTCCAGCTACAGGGGAGGCTCAGATGGGAGGATCATTTGAACCCAGGAGTTTGAGGCTACAACGAGTTATGATCACACCGATCATACCAGTGCACTCCAGCCTGTGTGACAGAGTGAGACTTTGTCCCAAAATAAATAAATAAATAAAACTTATCAGGCTGGGTGTGGTGGCTCATGCCTATAATCCCAGCAGTTTGGAAGGCTAAAGCAGCTGGATCTCTTGAGTCCAGGAGTTCACAACCAGCCTGGGCAACATGGCGAAACCCCATCTATACAAAAAGTACAAAAATTAGGTGGGTTTATGCTGATGGGCACCTGTAGTCCCAGCTTGGGAGGCTGAGGTGGAAGGATTACCTGAGCCCAGGAAGTCAAGGCTGCTGTGAGCGAAGATTCTGCCACTGCACTCTAGCCTAGGTGACAGAGTGAGACCCTGTCTCAAAAAAAAAAAAAAAAAAAAAAGACACATCAGGTTCAAATCCAACAGAGCTTAAAGGTTAAACAAACAACAACAAGAAAAAGAAAACTTGTCAGAGTAATTCAGGAGTGGGCTCTCTTTTCCCTCTTTGTTTTTGTTTTTTTTTTTTGGATAAAAAGGATTCCCATATAGTTTGGGGAAGAAACCAGGGCCAGCTATAGACACTTTTTCCAAGATCATCCCTCACTCCCCTGGAGTCCTGTCTGATGTTTTAGTAATGCTTTTTGTGTAATTATGAATCCTATTAGTGTAGTCTGTGGTTAAATAATCTTTATGCAGTGAGATTATCCTGGCTGTCTGTTCCTGTTTCCCAGCTCCCCTTAGAGTTGCTGCCTTTGGTTACATTGTTTCAGATTACATGCTTTTTCAGGACCTCTGGTAACTTTGATCCTTTGTGTGTATCTTCTCTGTCAAGATGTATCTTCTCTATCAATTAGAGGATAAGGAATGTTTTTTTTCTATCTCTACTAGTGTTCAAAAAATACTTCATGTGGATGGACAGATTGCCTGAGGAGTACTGATGATGCGTTTGGAAACTTGTGTTTTATTTCCTCCAGGGGAGCCAGGAAGTGGGACAGAAAGTGACACGTCTCCAGACTTCCACAATCAGGAAAACGAGCCTAGCCAGGAGGACCCTGAGGATCTGGATGGATCTGTGCAGGGAGTGAAACCTCAGAAGGCTGCTTCCTCTACTTCCTCAGGGAGTCACCACAGCAGCCATAAAAAGCGAAAGAATAAAAACCGGCACAGGTCAGTGGCAGGGACCCCACCCCCCGCAGCTTCCATGACCATTACTGTGAAGGGAATTGCCTAGAATAACAATGCTTTAGGATTGTTATAGAGCCTTTCTGTTGTTGATGGCAAGAAAGTCCTTTGGTCCAAGGGAACAGTCTAATTTGCTCAGAGAGAGGAATTGGTGGACATTAGAATAACCCTCAAGGAAGACTCCAGGATATCCTTCTCACTGTTTCTAGTGCAGAATAATTTTATTCCATAAAACCTTGTTTCATATGGTGAACGTGGGATACTTTTAGAAGAGAAAAAGGAGAAATAGAAATGGGATCCATGTAATAGTGTTTGAAAAATGCCACTAGTACGTAATAGAAAGCTGTAAAGTGGGATAAAGTCTTCTGCTGTTAATCTTGATCTTTACCTACTTTTATTTCTTTGTGAAGAGAACTGATTTGACATGCATTTTTTTTCCTCTTTCAATACAAGTTTTTTTATTGCTTGTGATTTTTCCGTTTCTGTATTTCTCAGCAACATGCTGACTTCAGATAATGGAAGAACAGTGTAAAACCTGTAAAATATGAGAGTGTCTTCGTAGGTAACGTGTAACGTTGGTGCACTGTGTTTTTTTTTTGCAGTATACATAATGAGATAGGAATGATGTCAATGGACAGAGAGGCCAGGTGTCACCCAGAGGGGGTTTCAGCATTCACTCTGCCTGGGGTTTGTATGATAATGCGGGGGCTTGTTAACTCAGATAATTGGAAATTATGCAGCTTGACCCAAAGAGGATAATGAACAGTTTCTAAACTAAGGAATTTTGCTGGCCTCAAACTTTCTGGGATACATGAAGACCCTATACATACCTGTTTCCATGCTTCCTAGAAGTTTTGAAGCAAGAGCAAGATTCCTCATTCTAGAAACTGTGCATTCTTTCCTCCTCTCCTGGAAGACTGCGTGCAGAGCAGGTGAAAAGGGGCATACAAAGAATGGGTGGCATTCCCTGTCCTCCAGTGTGCTTCTGGATTTGCTTTACAAATCTGTAGCATATTCCTTCATGCACCCAATGTATTAAACTTGGCAGTGCCTGAGGATAACGTAGCATTAACTCTGCCTGATTTGAACCTCCTTGGTTGGCGTCAGCTGGATCTTCAATTCTTTTTTTTTTCTTTTTTTATGCTCCTTTCTTAAACATCAGAATTTTCAGGATCTTCAATTCTTTTAAGAGTTTTTCTTGTTGATGGTAATAGTGTTTTTTAGACTGCAGAAATAGTATTCCTTCAAATAGTGAGTAAGGACTGCTGCTTAACATTTTTCTGCAAACCAGAAGTCACCATCCTAATCACATAACTGTGCTAAGAAATAGCAAAAATTGCATATTCCTCTTTATATATTTTTGAAAGGCTATAGGTTATTTGACCAACTGTAATAAGACTGGTGCTAACTTATCACGAATAGAAAAGAAACATACTCTTTTATTTGTCAAGATAATTAAACATCATACTCTGCATTACTTCTGTCAAATTTATTCCAGTGTCGTTTTATTTATTTATTTATTTATTTATTTTGAGACAAAGTCTCGCTCTGTCACCCAGACCAGAGTGTAGTGGCACGATCTCAGCCCCCTGCAACCTCTGCCTCCTGGGTTCAGATGATTCTCTGCCTCAGCCTCCTGAGTAGCTGGGATTACAGGAATGCACCATGTGCCTGGCTAGGTTTTATATTTTTAGCAGAGACAGGTTTCACTGTGTTGGCATGAACTCCTGATCTCAGGTGATAGGCCTGCCTCGGCCTCCCAAAGTGCTGGGATTATAGGTGTGAGCTGGTATGCCTGGCCTAGTGTCATTTTAAAGTAATGATTATTTTCTTATTTCATAATGTCTAGAGGAGGGAGGAAACTCTTTCAGAATTTCTGGGGCTTTTTCCATTACTGATGAATAGACTCTCTAGATAGCTGTTTATTTCAGGTCATTTTCATTAATGACGTCATTACCTGATGACTGATAAAAAGGAGGTAAGCGCTAAACTTCACTTTCTTCTTGCAGGTATTAGCACATTTAGTAGGAACAGTACTACTTCCTATCCTTTCGTTGCCGTAGGAGCTATCTCCTTCCAGAAGAATAGTGGTGTTGTAAAGATCTTTGATATTAGTTACTGCTTCACAAATAGTGTTTTCTGTTTGGAAAGCAGAATCCTGCTTTTTATTGCTGTCCTTTTATCTTCCCTCTGATTTAATATCTGGCTGATCTCCCTTGGCCTTAGGCACTCATCTGCCCCAAGAAAGGAGAGTGAAGTTGATTTTCTTCCTTTCTAGGGAAGCCAGATTCAGTGTGCCTGAATGGTACATGAGTGGCCATTTAAGGGTCTTAGACTCATGCCATCTTTAGTCAGGAATTGTGTCTGGTCCAAGCCCCTTACTGCTGACCAGACCTCAGTGGGGCTGGCAGATTGGGGTGGGGACAGAAGATGGTGTCTATGTACATTGCTAAGTTTGTACCCAGTACAGTACGTGTTTCTCCTCCAGTGTGCCATACCGCATATAGTGAGATAAAAGTCAATAATAAATTATTTCAGCAAATGTTTGAGTACTTACTATGTGCCAGACTCTGTTTAGTGGTGAGCAAAGCACGGTGGAAATAAATATGGCATTTAAGCAAAAGGAAATAACTTTTGAATTTGCCCTCTTCGGGAATATGAATTTTTTTTTTTTGGAAACAAGATCTTGCTCTGTTGCCCAGGCTGGAGTGCAGTGGTGAGATCTTGAGGCTTACTGCAGCTTCAACCTCCCGGGCTCAAACAGTTCTCCCACCCCAACCTCCCAAGTAGCTGGGAATATGAGCATGTGCTACCGCACCTGGCTAGTTTTTGTATTGTTTTTGTAGAGACGGGATTTCACCGTGTTACACAGGCTGGTCTTGAACTCCTGGGCTTGAGTGATCCTCCTGCCTTGGTCTCCCAAAGTGCTGGGATTACAGGCACGAACCACCACACCCCACTAGAATATAAAAATTTATCAAATAATTTTTAGCATCCATAAATGATGACATTGTTCGGAATTCTTATATTTTACATGATACCTAAACAGTAAGTCATTCCTGGTATCTTTAAAGAAAAGGTTGAAATAATAGCACATAGTGGCCAGATTTCTGTGGCTCATACCTGTATTCAGCACTTTGGGAGGCTGAGGTGGAAGGAACACTTGAGCCTAGGAGTTTGAAACCAACCTGGGCAACATGGTGAGACCCCCCTCTCTACAAAAAATACAGAAATTAGCTGGGCATGGTGATGTGCCTGTGGTCCCAGCTACATGGGAGGATGAGGCTGGAGGATTGCTTGAGCCCAGGAGTTTGAAGCTTCAGTGAGCCATGATCACACCACTGCACTTCATCCTGGGTGACAGAGGAAGACCCTGTCTCAATGATAATAATAATAAGTAACATATAGCTATTCTTATAAGTTTCTGTTAGTATAAAAATTTATTTTAGATAGTCTATAAAGTGTTGATTAATTAGATACAGTCTATTTTAATTTGTGAACAAAGTCAAGTCAGGCTGAAAGTGAAATATTTGATAATTCCTGGTTTCGTACGCCTACTATATACTCTCCCAAATGTCTAAAGTGAAACTATTGTGTGAGAGATAATTGACATTAAGCTTTCTTCCAGCTTTACTCTTGTAAACATTGTCTAGGAGGAAAATGTATCCATTTGCATATTGTTTTAGCACCTGCTACAGTCTGGAAGGTGTTGGAGCCAGTGAAGGAGCAGGTGTCCTGCTCCAGGTTAATGTTTGCTTTGGAGGCCAGCCCAGACCATGGTCTGCTAGCAATGATGGCACAAAATGGCCTCCTCCTCTGTACTGCTCCCTCCAGGTCCCTGAGACTCAGGTGCTTGTGGATGGCAGCTTTCTCTTGTTTTAATAGGGGTGCTGCAGGCTGGGCGCAATGGCTCATGCCTGTAATCCCAGTACTTTGGGAGGCCAAGGTGGGTGGATGGAGTTCGAGACCAGCCTGGCCAATGTGGTGAAACCCTGTCTCTACTAAAAATATAAGAAGTAGCAGGGTGTGGTGGCATCAGCCTGTAATCCCAGTTACTAGGGAGGCTGAGGCAGGAGAATCTCTTGAACCCAAGAGGCAGAGGTTACAGTGAGCCGAGATTGCACCATTGCACTACAGCCTGGGCAACAAGAGCGAAACTTTGTCTCAAAAAAAAGGGGGGAAGGGTGCTGCACACTTCGGTGTTCCTTAATTGTAGCCCTGATGTAGAAAGTTAACTGCCTTCACCTACTTAAGTGGCAGAGCAATACTGTTCTTCATTTTCTGGAACAAGATTCCACTACTGAAGTTTATTCATTCAACTTTGAGCTTCTAGGATGAATGCTGTAGAAAAGGAGCATGGTGTTCCCTGGACATGTTTAGAACATGTAACTTGAGTGAAAAGTTGTAAAATGTTTTCCTTTTTTAAAGTTTAGAATGTTCTGTAGTTTTTTTATTTTAGTGAAAGTGTATTATGCCGAGTTAGTACTGTCTTCAAAGTGCCTTTCATTATATAACTAAACCTCTTTCTCTGTTTCTTCTAATGCCCTAATTATATTTTTCAATACAATTAAATATTTTAAAAGTTCTAACCCTGAATCTGGCAGCTAATAAAAGGGCTCCAGGTGTCTGGTAGTTTTCTAATGAAATAACTTTTTCTTTCATAGTCTAGTCTTCTGATTAAGAAATCCATTGAAGGAAGGGAATCTCCTGACCACAAAATCTTTGGTGCTTTGATGTTTGAAACTTTGTTGCTTAAGATTCTTAAAGCTGATATTGTTTCTACAATTCTTGCTAGGGTGGCTAATCAACTAATTTATTGAATTAGTGTATTAATTTCTATTGCTTTCTTCCTTTCAAATGCTGCCCCTCAGCCCGTCTGGCATGTTTGATTATGACTTTGAGTAAGTTTGATTTGAATTAGTATTTGTGCCGTGTTGTTTAGTGTGTAGACACCAGTATGCCTTTTTGAGGCCTTTCTAACCCATAGTTTATCTGTTTAATTGTAGGTATATATATTAGGTTAGGCTGGGAAGTTTTTTTTAAAAACAGAAAAACGTGATGGAGGTAACATTTTATTTAATAACTTAAGCAAAATTAAGTAAACTTCACTTTTATGCATTTTAGCTTCTTTTAAAATAGATAACCTTTAATTCATATTTAAATTGATTTTCTGGCTTTGCTTCATAAGGAGATTAATAGCTTAAGATCTTGATATTTTGCTTTGGAAAGATTTAAAAATTGAAATTCATTTAATTTACTTTGTGTTTCATGTCAGGAAATACAAACTACTAGTCTCTTTCCTGTTGTTAATCACCATGTGCCTCAATAATTTTCAGTGATACAGTTACAGAACTAACACATTAACATAGAGCATGCCCTCTTAATTCAATCTCTTTAACATGTAGTTTTGGAATAGTTTTAAAATTATATGGCTTTTGTAGCTGCTGTATACATTTCTTTTTAGAGTCATCTAAGTTTGCCTTAGGGCAAAAGTGTCTGCTCATAATTTTTAATACTTGCTTGATAATATCTGGGTAAACAACTAAATATGACATAGTCTAATGAAGAATGTGGATTTTTCTTAACCAAATAGTCTTTGTTATAGCTTATGCCCTATGCAGTAGCTGATTGTGGGACCCATTTTCTTTAAATTAAAATGGAAATATCTTTTATCTTTTCTGTCACAGGATTGATCTGAAGTTAAACAAAAAACCACGAGCTGTAAGTATCAGCCAGACCACTTCAGAGAGGCTGGCAATTTTGTAGATGATTAGACAAATGTATTTGTCTTCAGAGCTTGAGTGTTCCTAACCTGGAGTCATAACTCTTGATTTAAAGGCTGGGGTGTTCATCTGGATATACTTCAACTTGTAGGTGTTATTTATTTATTTATTTATTTGAGAAACAGTTTCTCGCTCTGTCACCTAAGCTGGAGTGCAGTATTGTCACAATCACAGCTCTCTGCAGCCTTGACCTTCTGTGCTTGGCTTCCTGAATAACTGGAACTACAGGCGTTACCTCCTCGCCTGGCTAATTTTTGTATTTTTTGTAGATATGGGGTTTTGCCATGATGCCTGGTCTGGGAATTCCTGTACTTAAGCAATCCTCCTACCCCAGTCTCACAAAGTGTTGGGATTATAGGCATGAGCCAATGTGCCCGGCCTGTGGCTTTTGTATTTTAAGGACAGAAAGAGGTCACATGCGTTTTTTTTTTTTTTTTTTTTTTTTTTTTAAATGGAGTCACTCTGTCACCTAGGCTGGAGTGCAATGATGCAGTCTCGGCTCACTGCAACCTCTGCCTCCTCGGTTCAAGCAATTCTTCTGCCTCAGCCTCCTGAGTAGCTGGGATTACAGGTGTGCGCCACCATGCCTGGCTAATTTTTGTATTTTTAGTAGAGATGGGGTTTCACCATGTTGGTCAGGCTGGTCTCAAACTCCTGACCTTGTGACTCGCCCGCCTTGGCCCCCCAAAGTGCTGGGATTATAGGTGTGAACCACTGTGCCTGACTGATCACATACATTTTTAGTGATGAAAAATTCCCTTTAATTAAATAATAAATTGTTAATAATAGCTTTTATTTATTTATTTATTTATTTATTTTTTGAGGCGGAGTTTCACTCATGGTACCCAGGCTGGAGTGCAATGGCGCGATCTCGGCTCACCGCAACCTCCGCCTCCTGGGTTCAGGCAATTCTCCTGCCTCAGCCTCCTGAGTAGCTGGGATTACAGGCACGCGCCACCATGCCCAGCTAATGTTTTATATTTTTAGTAGAGACGGGGTTTCACCATGTTGACCAGGATGGTCTCGATCTCTTGACCTCGTGATCCACCTGCCTCGGCCTCCCAAAGTGCTGGGATTACAGGCTTGAGCCACCGCGTCCGGCCTAATAATAGCTTTTTTTTTTTTTGAACTGGTGAGTTCATGTGCTCTAATAAGAGCAGAATTGATGTTTCAACCCTTTATGGACTCAGAAGACAGACCATTTTCAGATGCAAAAGATTGTACATTATATTTGGAATAGAATCTTTTTTTTTTTTTTTTTGCGATAGGGTCTGATTCTGTCTCCCAGGCTAGAATGCAATGGTGCTATCTCAGCTCACTACAAGCTCTGCCTCCCAGGCTTAAGCTGGGACCACAGGCATGTGCCACCACACCTGGCTAATTTTTGTATTTTTTGTAGAGATGGGGTCTTAATTTGTTACCCAGGCTGGTCTCGAGCTCCTGACTCCAAGTGATCTGCCCACCTGGGCCTCCCTAAATGCTGGGATTATAGGTGTGAACCACCATGCCTGGCCTGAAATACAGTCTTTAGCTACAGAGCAATCCCTTAGCAGAGTTGTTTATGAGACTTTTTTTTTTTTCTCTTAGGGTCAAACCACTATTCTGCCGGGAGTAAGTTGGAACTTTTGTTTTTCTCTCTTTAGGACTATTAGAAGACACATTAGCGCAGAAGCTTCCAGGCTGTAGAACCCTGCTTCCCTTCTCTGACCTCACAAAGATAAACATCCTTCACCTGAGTTCGTGGCCATCCATCTCTGCTCTCCTAGACCCAGTGCCTGTGACTTTGAGTAGTTTGTTTTAAATGTGGTGACAAACAAGTCATTTCTGTAAGACATTGGATCATTTACTTGATGTCATTTTTAGTAACAGAACTGCAGGAAGATCAAGACATGGTTATAATTCCAACAAGTTGCTAACTGTGCATTGCTCCCTTCTTAGAATGAATGTCTCCCCCCAGAATGGCTGGCACCATCTATCTGCGATACCATCAAGAAATGTTCTCTGGTTTTATTTTATGTTGAAAGTAGAACACAAATCACATTTCAGATGGAGGCTGTAAATATCTGGCATTGTCTTATATTGTTTTATGTTTTCTTATTTTTCTCTTGTTTTTGTCATCTTATTTTCTTTGGGGTCTTTGTGTAATGCGTTTGTACAGCTCATGCCTTCCTGCTGACATATCTGATCATCTCTTTCATGCAGTTGCCAGTATTCATAACTGAAAATAATCTGGTTTATCATAAGTAAAATGGGAAACTTGGCGCTCTGTTTTTGCAAGGGGAGGTCAAGAGTGTTTATTTAGTAATTACCTATCTTAAATCTGAGTTGGAAGCAGATTCATGTTCAAGGCACAGGAAAAATGGAAAAACATAAGTTTAAATCCATTATTTTTAAATAGCTGTTTTTATTCTTTTGTATAAATAAAATTTCACAGGCTTCAAATTCTCATGCTTTACTTTTTAAACCTGAGATTGTTTTTTTCACTTATTTTGTTTATTCATATCATGCCTTATGGAAATTTCCTTTTCTGTATTTTCTCTCTTTGCTGGTATTCACCTGATTATTGCTAAAAATCACCATGGTTGGCATATGGAAAGTCTCATAATTATACCAAAAGTGATAACTTACGAAGTTCTTAAGTGGAGTGAAAGGAGAGCATCAGTGAGAGCCATTGTTGCCAGCAGTGCTCCCTTTTGTGGAGGGCTTGATGGGGCGAGGAACTTAATTGTTATGCCTTTAGTGCTTTGGTGATCTACCTTGACTGCACATTGATCACCTGAACAACTTTAAAATACTCATGCTTGGATTCCACCCCCAGAGACTGGGGCATAGCCTAGTTATTGGGATTTTCTTTAGAAAAGTTCTTGGGATTCTGATAAGAAGCCAAGTTGAGAACCACTACATGAGAACACAGAATGGTTTAATTTAAATCCTATGTTATGAATTGGTCTAAGGGATAAGATTTGGGGCCTACCCTTTCCTTTGATTCTAGTCAGTCATAGTCCTTGACTTTTGTCTATATCTTTGTAAGAAACAGTATGTTTCATTTGTGATAATATTGGTAGAGCTGAATATGGATGGCATCTCCTGTAAAAACAAGTCCACCTTGTCAGATGTGCAAAAGCTTTCACTCTTGTTCTCAAATAAACTTTTGTGGGTTTTTTTTTTTTTTTTTTTTGACCGGCTATTTAGATGTCTTTGGTAGCAGAACTCCAATGTCAGGATTTTTAAGGGAATAGTTTCTTATAGTTATATTATTCCTTAAAAAAAAATTCCAGAAGCATTCTGTATCTTTTGTCTGTTGGTCTTTGCTGGGAGGGAGGAGTAGGATGCCTGCAGTTTCCTTCCTTTTGAGGAAAGCACACAGCAGATCTTAAAATATTTTTGACTTTTATAGTTTGAGATTGCTAGAGATAGAATAGTAGTGCTCTGTTGCACCACTGCACTCCAGCCTGGGTGACAGAGCAAGACTCTGTCTCAAAAAAAAAAAAAAAAAAGAATAGTACTGCCCTTAAAATGATGATTTCCATATTTATGAGACTGCAGTGGGATGCCTGCAGTTTCCTTCCCTCTGAGGAAAGCACACAACAGACCTTAAAATATTTTTTACTCTCATAGTTTGACATTGCTAGAGATAGACTAGTACTGCTCTTAGAAATATTATTTATGTATTTTATTCATTTATTTATTTATTGACAGGGCCTTGCTCTGTCGCCCAGGCTGGAGTGCAGTGGCCTGATCAAACTCACTGCAGCCTCTAACTTTTGGTCTCAAGCCATCTTACTGGTTCAGCCTCCCTAGTACCTAGGACTGCAGGTGCATGCCACCATGCCCAGCTAATTTGAAAATTTTTCGTTTTGTAATGATGGGTTCTTGCTGTGTTGCCCCAACTGGTCTCAGACTCCGGGCCTCAAGCTGTCCTCCTGCCTTGACCTTTCAGAGTGCTGAGATTATAGGCATCAAGTGATTCTCCTGCCTCAGCCTCCCTAGTAGCTGAGACTACAGGCATGTCCCACCATGCCTGTCTTAAGTTTTGTAATTTTAGTAGAGACAGGGTTTTGCCATGATGGCCAGGCTGGTTTCAAACTCCTGACCTCAGGTGATCTACCTGCCTCAGCCTCCCAAAGTGCTAGGGTTACAGGCGTGAGCTATGGCGCCCAGCAATATAGAGTATTCTTGACATTTTGCCCTGTGCAGTAGATAAGAGAATTAAAATGAATGATAAATAGTCTAAACTTGAAAGTTAAAGAGCCTAAGCTTGAAACACTCTTTGACTTAGTTTTTGCATTTATTCTGTCTTCTTTGCCCCCACCAGCCTTACTCCAAATTAATGAGGCTTTGTTTTTTGGGGGGCATGGAGCCTTGCTTTGTCACCCAGGCTAGAGTGCAGTGGCACGGTCTTAGCTCACTACGACCTCCACCTCCCGGGTTTAAGTGATTCTTCTGCCTCAGCCTTCTGATTAGCTGGGACTACAGGTGCGTGCCACCACGCCCGGCTTAGTTTTCTATTTTTAGTAGAGACTGGGTTTCACCATATTGACCAGACTGGTCTCGAACTCCTGACCTCATGATCTGCTCACCTCAGCCTCCCAAAGTGCTGGGATTACAGCCGTGAGCCACCGAGCCAGCCTAGTTAGTGAGGCATTATTAAGCTTAAAGATTCACATTGAGCTGGATGTGGTAATGTGTGCCTTTATTCCCAGCTGCTTGGGAGGCTGAGCAGGATCGCTTGAAGCCAGGAGTTCAAGGCTATAGTGTGCTGTTATCATGTGTGTGAATAGCCACTGCACTGCAGCCTGAGCAACGTAGCAAGACGCTGTCTCTAAAAACAACAGAAAATTGGCATCTGAAGCCCTGACTACAGGGGCACTATACTGGTTCATGTGAAGTGTGGGGAGAGAGCAGGATTGTGCTTCTTTGTACACATTCGCTTCTCCCAGGGTAGTGTCATAGTGCCTAGGAAGGTGACATGCATGTAAGATAATGAAGGGACTGGAATTTTCATGCCTGTGTCAGTGTAAATGAGCGTTATCATGTCCGAATTGTCTTAAGTGGTAAGATTCATGATTTGAAACAAAGTATTTGCTTTGAAATACTCCTCCTGTGGATTAAAAGTTGTCACCACTGAAGTGGGCTGTAGTGGAGTCGATGCTGATCCTCACTTAGGACAGTGGCCTCCAAGGGAAAGAGGGCGCACAGGATGGCTGGGTGCGGGTGGGAAGAAAAGATTAGGCCTTTGATTTATATTCACTTTCAGGCTCAGCCTTACTTAGTTTCTCACTTTGAATATATTGTATACATCAGTATTTGTTCATTAGTACATGTAGGTCATTAATTTATAAATAAAAGGTTGAACCACAAGAAACTGCTGAGAATCGTTTTTAATCTGTAAAAATGGCAGTTATCATAGTTTAAGAGCACATACATGTTGGAGGTGTATATGCTTCAAGTTTTTACTGTTTGTATACAGAAAAAACTTTGGAGACCCCGGGCCCCCACCTCAGCTTGCAGCCCTCACCCTGCTAACTTATTTCTGTATGCTGGGTGTGGGGATGGGTGGACTTTAAAATATTTAATTAACTTGAATACCTGTGTCCTAGTCTGTTTGAGCTGCTATAACAAAAATATATACGAAGTGGCTTATAAACAGCAAACATTTCTCACAGTTCTGGAGGCTAGGAAGTCCAAGATCAAGGCGCTAGCACAGCCAGCTTCTGGTGAAGGCGTGCTTTCTGGGTCACAGATGGTGCCTTTTAGTTGTGTCCTCATATGGTGGAAGGAGGACAAGCTCTCTCAGGCTTCTCTTTTAAAAAATTTTTTTGAGATGTGGTCTTTGTTGCCCAGGCTAGATTGCAGTGGTGCAATCATGGCTCACTGCAGCCTCAACTTCCCAGGTTCAAGTAACCCTCTTACCTCAGCCTCCCAAGTAGCTGGGACCACATTTATGTGTTACCACACCTAGCTAATTTTTAAAAATGTTTTGTAGACAGGCTCTTGCTATGTTGCCCAGGCTGGTCTTGAACTCCTGGGCTCAAGTGACCCTCCTTGCCTTGGCCTTCCAAAGTGATGGGACTGTAGATGTGAACCATCACACCTGGCCTCAGGCCTCTTATTTATTTATTTCTTTTAGAGACAGGGTCTCACTTTGTTGCGCAGTCTGGTCTCGAACTCCTGGGCTCTGCCTCCCAAAGTCCTGGGATTACAGGTGTGAGCCACCACACCTGACTCCTCAGGCCTCTTTTATAAGGACACTAACCCCATTTATGAGTATTTTGTCCTCATAATTTAAGCACCTCCAAAGCCTCTTAGAATTTGGGGGGACATAAGCATTCAGACTGTAGCAATGTGCAAATGCTCACAGCTCACATGGCACTGAAGTGTATTAAGGTAAAGGAAGTGCTTCTGTCTCTCAGCTATCAGTTTCCCTTTCCAGAGGCAGCCCCAGAGTTCCTTTGTATCCTTCCCAGTGACCTTTTTATGTGTATGAGCAGTGTGCACATATGCATGTGTCTGTTCACAGAAATGGTAGCATACTGCGCACACTGTTCGTCCCTTGCTTTCTTCATCAAGCAATCTAACACAGAAAACATTCCATATGTACAACTGCCTCATTATTTTTATTGGCTACTTTATATTGTGTTGCATGTGTATACCCGAGTTTAATCAGTCATCTGTTGATCGCATTAATATTGTTTCCCATCATCTGCTGTTTCAGACAGTGTCAGAGTGAATAGCCCTATATGCATCATTTTGCAAATACGAATACCTGTAGGATAAATTCTTAGCAGTGATGCCAGGCAGGCTGGTTCATGACTGTAATTCCAGCACTTTGGGAGGCCAAGGCAGGAGGATGATGGGAGGCCATGGTGGGAGGATCGCTTGAGCCCAGGAGTTCAAGACTGGCCTGGGCAACAAAGTGAGACCCTGTTTCTACAAAAGATAAATTAGCCAGATGTTGTAATGTAGGAGGATTGCTTAAGCCCTGGAAGTGCAGGTAGCAGTGAGCTGGGATTGTGCCACTGCACTCCAGTCTGGGTGACAGAGCGACTTTGTCTCCTAAGAAAGAAAATTCCCTGAAAAAACAACAACAAACATAACAAATTAGCTGGGTGTGTTGGCTCATGACTGTAATCCCAGCACCTTGGGAGGCTGAGGCGGGTTGATGTGCATTGAGCCCAGGAGTTTGAGACCAGCCTGAAACCTGGTCAAACCCCATCTCTGCAAAAATACCAAAAGATTACGCAGGCATAGTGGTGAATGCCTGTAGTTCCAGCTACTTGGGAGGCTCAGGTGGGGGAATTGCCTGAGCCCGAGAAGTCCAGACTGCAGTGAGTTATGATCATGCCACTGCACTCCAGCCCAGTAGACGGAATAAGGCCCTGTCTCGAAAAAACAAAGAATGTTTATATTTTTTTCACCTTTCCTTTCCTTTTTATTCTTCAGTTCCTGACAGTTTTCTTTTCCTGGAACAGTTGGAACTTTCTAGAGCTTTAGACTTTGTAGAAGGCATGGCAGTGACCTCTGGTGTTGCTTTCCGGTGCGGAGCTGCAAATGCCATTAAGAATTCCCTGTTTTGGCCGGGCTCGGTGGCTCAAGCCTGTAATCCCAGCACTTTGGGAGGCCAAGGCGGGTGGATCACGAGGTCAAGAGATCGAGACCATCCTGGTCAACATGGTGAAACCCCGTCTCTACTAAAACTACAAAAAATTAGCTGGGCATGGTGGCACGTGCCTGTAATCCCAGCTACTCAGGAGGCTGAGGCAGGAGAATTGCCTGAGCCCAGGAGGCGGAGGTTGCGGTGAGCCGAGATCGCGCCATTGCACTCCAGCCTGGGTAACAAGAGCAAGGCTCCGTCTCAAAAAAAAAAATAAAAAAAAAGGAATTCCCTGTTTTTGCCTTAGCACTTTACTTCCCATGTTATTCTCCTTAGATTAATTGTTTTTTAGATCCTGCTGCAAGATGCTTGTCTCCAGCCTCTTCATTCCAGGCCAGAGCTGGTGAGCAGGCCCCTGCTCCGTAGGCAGCAGTACCAGGAAGCGCCAGCAGGTGGCAGACAGGGTATCGCAGCACGAGAGCAGCCTTTGCACCATTCAGTGACCTGACCTTCCAGCAATGTGCCTAACTTAGCATGGGGTGGGGTGCCTGATCCTTTCCTCCCACCTCATTTTGCTGACATTTCTTAAATGGATGAGCAGTTTAAGATCACCAGCAGCTGCCTTGAGAGGAGCTTGACGAGGCCACACCCCAGAATGACAGCCTGGGGCCTCCTCCCCTTCAGGAACTAGCGGGAAGGATTTACATGCCATGGCCTGGGTTGGCTTGGGTTTCCTTAATTGCAGGGCTCTACTTCCTGCCTCTTTCAGCCAAATCTCCCACACCCTTCCCATGAACTGGGAGGTCCCCAGAATAGGCCCTTGCCCACCCTCTACTCCACCCTGTCTGCTATGGTCCAAGAGAAAAAAAGGGAGCAAGAGGTCTGAGAAAACCTGGGACAAAA